ATTTCGAACAAATCTAAACTTATTCTAAAATTTGATGCTATTTCCAACATTTTTTGCTTTCATTCAATAAAATTTTAAAATGATAGCCTGTATGTTTCATCCAATATTTGATACCGGACATCAAATACACCTCGAAAATATCTCTTCCAAATTTTGTCGAGATCGGTTCAGATTTATATATACCTCCGATACACATCTTCATTCGATTTTTCGAGTTGATAAAATTTTACTCAAATATGTGTGTTGTCAGGACTCGCTATCGGTTCAGATATAGCTATAGTTCCCATATATATTGTTCATCCGATTTGTTATTTTTGTCCTCCGCAGCCGTAATATGCACTCTGCAACAACAATATTTGGAGAAATATATCAAATACAGCTCAGAAATATCTTTGCCAAATTTTATCGGTTCAGAGTTGGATATAGCTCCGATATATAACTTCGTCCGATTTACATTTTATTGTTCATCAAACGTCTAATATTTGTCTAAATGGGATGGAATTTGGCACATACGACCAAATTGAGTCTAGAAGGTAGTATGCCAAATTTGGTGAAGATCGGTTCAGATATAGCTATAGCTCCCATATATACAAAATTAGCAAAAGGTCCCGCCCGACTTTAGGACTTTCTTTATATATTTTGCAAGTTCTTTCCAAATGGATGGAAGTATTGGGGCTATAGTAATTTTTTTAGTTTTTGGATTTTGTCCCCATCTTGAACCCATTGTCCCTCTACAGAATGGCCAACATCTCTAAGTATTATTTGCTCTTTCACAATATGGTCCTTGTCTTCAGCACCGATTTGACAAAATAAATTCAGTCCAATAGGTAGGTTTTCATTACACCGATTTTACCTGCTTTCAAATGCTCCCTTTGCCAATTATATTTTTCAATTCTGCCAAAGAACTCCAACAAATCATTGAAATTTCTAGGTCATAAATACGATAAATAAACAAGCAAACACAGATTTTAGCCGACAAAGGATTGTTGTCGTTATCACATTGGATCTTATTAACGATTTCAATACAGTACACCATTATGCTGGCTCTTTTATTCCTCTTCTTCTTGTGTGCGGGTGATAAATGTATGCTGCTTCGAAATGGGAAGCAAAGTCAACCATTGTTGTAGCACTCTCCTATTTCTCACCACCAATTAGATATCTACTTTGAATCGAAACTCTGGATTTCGAACCAAGTTAAAAGTCATAAATGCGTTCAATGTTCAACAATTGCCTTCTTCAATCCCATTTGCCCTTTGCATTTCAATGGCGGTAAGTTGGCCGTAGCTGGTAAAGCGTGACATCGCCACAAAAGGACATATGAGACACCTATTAAAGTGTTAAATGTAGTAGAACAATAAACCGGCAGTCGGCAAAAAAACAATGTGATTCTTACTGCTTTATTCGAAACCGCTGAGTAATAAATCATTTTCTTAATAAGCCGGCGCTAGAAAAAAAAAAACTAAATAAATCCAAATGTTTAGCTAAACAAGTAAAAACGAAGCCAAGTTCGACAGGGCCGAACTTTTAATACCCTCCTTCATTTGGAAGGAACTTAAAAAACATTAAAAAAAAACTTCCGGAAACTACCAATTAAATTATTACGAACTTCAAATACCAAATTTGAAATAATTCCGGTAAATAATGTCGCTAAAATCATGGAAATACCGAATATCGGGAGGTACCGTTATATGGAGACTATACGAAAACGTGGACCTGTATACAAAAATTATTGTCATAGGCTGTAGTACCGATTACGAACTTTAAATATGAAATTGGAAATAATTCCGGTAATTTATGTCGCTAAAATCATCAAAATACCGAATATATGGTACCGTTATATGGGGGCTATACGAAAACGTGGACCGACATGACCCATTTACAAACTTAACCTGACTACTGGTAAACTATGCATGTATGCAACATTTTAGCCTTCTATCTCAATTCGTTCAAAAGATAGTGTGATTACAACAGACAGACGGGCAGACAGACATCACTAGATCGCCTTAGAATTTTACGCTGATCCAGAATGTATATACTTTGTAGTGTCTATTATAAATATTTCGAGGAGTTACAAACGAAATGACAAAGTTAATATACCCTCCATAGAATGGTGGAGGATATAAAAGATCTTGGAGAGTTTCGAGTTATTTCTGCAAAACAGGTGTGGCTTCGTCACTGAGCATTCACAATGGTTTGCAGCCAAATAAATATTAACCAGAGTTTACGAAAAATTAGTAGTATTTTCTTTTAATTTAAATTTTAAAATATTTCCTGGACTTTGAGCAGTCTTTTTATACCCTACACCACATAGTAGTACGGGTATTATGTCTTTGTGCATCTGGTTGTAATATGGAGAAGGAAGCGAGATAGAGTCATAGTTACTTGAGGATCTTCATTGACTCACTATCTGATTCTATTTATGCCTGTCAGTCCGCCTGTCCGTCCATCATAGTTAATCTTAAGGATTTTCATAGAATCACTTTCTGAGTCTTTTTTTGAATGTCAGTCCGTCTGTCGATGTATTTTTGTGAACAAAATGCAGGTCGCATTTATTATCCGATTGAGATGAAATTTTTGCAAACAATATTTGTTATGCCAAAGGACGAACCGTATTGAAATTGGAGATAATCGGATCATATTTAGATATAGCTCGCATATATCTTCAACCGATTTCGGCTTAATTGTGCACCAAATGGCCAATATAAGTCCAAATGAAATGAATTCAGTCTAGAAGCAAGTACGTCAAATTTGGTGAAAATCGGTTCAGATATAGCTATAGCTCTCATATATATGTTTCATCCGATTTGGTGTTTAAGTGCCTCACATTCGTAATATGCATTCGACAACAATGACATTTGGTATCAGATATCAGATATAGCCAAGAATTCAGTCTAGAAGCACGTTCATTGAATTCGGAGAAAAAAGTTTCAGATGTAGCTATATTTCCCATATATAGGTTTCATACGATTTGGTCCGCCACATTCGTAATATGCATTCCACAAGAATGATGTTTGGTTCCAGGTATAGCACGGAAATACTTCTGCCAAATTGTATCAAGATCGGTTCAGATTTTGATATAGCTCCCATATATGTCTTCAATCGATATCGGGTTAATTGTGTACCAAATGGCCAATATCAGCCCAAGCGCTTGCTTGAGGTGATCGACACTGGCACTTTTTTAGTGCCAACCTTGCTTTCCATAATACTCCAGACACAATAGTTCCAGAATATTTTTGCGATAATATTCGGCATTTATTCTGATGCCACGGTCGTTTAATACGAGCGGAGAGCGACCATCGGTTGTTATGGCGGCCCACAACATCACCATGGCCGGCGCTTGAGTTCTGGTGGCCAACCGAAGGTGCACATTTTCAGCTGACCTCTTTGGCAAGTAAACACGATCATTTTGTTTGTTTACAAACTGCTGGACAACGAACGTTTTCTCATCGGAAATAACCCAATTTCGGCAGTTCACCACTTTCGACCAAGCGAAGCAACTCTTTAGCTCTTTTGAGTCTATTTTCTTTCTGTTGCGGTGTAAGTTCTTGCACTTTTTGGGGTTTCAATGGGTTTATACCGAGTTCATTTTTCAGTATTTGCCGAACGAGCCATTTTTCGGCCACTGCGACGCAGGTTTCGATCAAGACGCTTTTGTACGCTTGTAAACAATATAATAAGCTGTCACTGGAATAATTTTAACACCTGTCAGACGAGTGGCTTAGAATTACAGCAGTCTGAAGTTGTTTGCAGTTTTTTTCATTTCAATCTGTAAAGTTGGATATACAACATCGTGGACCTACATGGACAATTCGCTTCCAGGGGGTAAACTACTCAGAAAGAACTCCTGGTGTGGATTATGAGACAATTCCATTGAAAAATCTGGCTAAAATCATCAAAATGCCGAATATTGGGAGGTACCGTTACATGGTGGCTATACGTTATCCTAGACCGATATAGTCCATCTTCGAACTTAACCTGCCTGTAGACAAAAGACTGATCGGTGCGAAATATTAGCTTCGTATCTTAATTCTTTCGACTCTAGCTTAATTACAAAAGACTTACGGACGGACAGGGCTAAATCGTCTTAGAATCTTATGCTGATCAAGAATATATATACTTTAACTTTAACACTCTTAAATGTCAAATAAAAAAGTTGCCATGCATATTGAATATTTTATTTTCATTCAAATTTTAAATTAATGTCACATATTCCTGTAAAAGTTTTATCTTGTCTTTGGACCACTTTATACTCAATGTAGCGAAACTATCTAGGTCCCCCTTTTATACGGTCCAAACTAACAATAATAAAGACTGGTCAATGAACCCGAAACTTCTTTAGGGTTTTCATCTTCAAACGAGCACTATCAAATCGAATTGGGATTTTCCACAACCCAGACCGGTTTTTTGGTAAAATTGGGAAAAAGTGTTGAGTTTTTCAAAAATGAACAAGTTTTTTATTAACAACAATTGATAACATTTTTCTCCTCTATTTCTTCTTTAATATCTTATAATTTTACTTACCTTTTTCATTAAAAAAATATATATAAATAAAAGAACTATTATTTGTTGTTTTTTTATAATTGTTTTTATTTAAATATTTTGTTTTTATTTAATAATATTAAGATTGTTTTGTTGTTTTTCTTTTAAGGTGTAATTGAAATTAAAAAAGGAAAAATTATATATAATATGAATACACAATCTATATTCTAAATTTAATGAAGTTGTTGTTGATTTTTAAATAAATTTTTAAGGGAAAAAATGAAAGTTGCTGTGTGTTTTTATTGTTTTCAAATGTTGTTCTTTTTTTATAAGAAATGTGGAATTATTTCGGATGCGACTTTTTCAATGCAACAGAAAAGAAGAAGACGAACAATAAATTGACTGATTGGGCTGAGGGAATAGTTGGCATTGGTGATGGTAATTAATTAATATTTGTTCAGTTGGTTTGCAAGCAGTAAAAGTAAAACAAAGAAATTTCTTTACATAATAATCATCAGGTGTTTGGGAAACATATAGGTTTGCAGTTTATTTTTCTGTTCTTCTTTACAATTCTTGATGTAATACATATTTTAGCTTTTCTTCAAAAAAAAAAGTCGTTATATCCCCATAATCTTTTCTCTACTGTAAATATGTATGTTCAAGGAGCTGTTTTTTTATTTCAATATTTTTATTTTTTTTTATCAAACACCCCGCCCGGTTCATTCTTTTGTTTAAGTTCAAAAAAAAAAATGATAAAGAATCTACAAGAAGCCCTCCCCCCGCTTTTTTATTTTGCATTACTAAACATCCAAGCCAATTGCAAGTTGTCGTCACCACCAGCAGTTGTTATCACTTCTATCCACATAAGTTTCATCCCCCGACCAGCAGACCGACAGCTATTTCTTAATACGCTCCTCCTCCATCTTTTCGTTTAATTTCGTTTCTATACATATCTGGGGTAGTACTACTTCAGTCTTCGACAGCATACTTTTGGGTCCATTCACGTGCATTCTTAATGGCCTCAGCCTCATTGACTTTCCATAATTCAGCGACATCATTGGCCAAAGGATCATCGGGATTTGGGGCGCTAAGTAGTGCCTGAATCGACAACAAAATGGTGCGAATCTGTAAGGCAGGACTCCATTTATCCTTAAGTACATCCAAACAGATGCGACCCAGACGATCGATATTTGGATGATAAATTTTTGTTATGAATCTAACTTTCGGTGCCGACATTGGATAGTCTTCGGGCAAAAAGAGTTCCAATTTAAAGATGCCACCCTCGAAGGGTGAATCAGTGGGGCCGGTCACAATCACATGGAAATATCGGGCATTGTTTTCATCGGGAATGGCATTGATACCTGGTACGGGTTCTTGCATTAAACGTTGAGTTTCCTTGATAATGCGACGGGGTAAACTGGACATTTTTGTTATGTTTGTTTGGTTCTACTTAGAAAAATTTTATATATGTAATGAAATAATGCAATTATATTTTTTATATATCCCCTTGCTGGCGAACTTCTATCCGATGCACTGTAGCAGTGACTGCTTCAATTATTTCGTTGGAAACTCTGCAAATAGAAAAAAGTGCAATGGTAAGCAGAAAATAACATTTAACAAGTAAAAAAGCTTAAGTTCGGCCGGGCTAAACTTTTAATACCCTCCACCTTATGGTAAAGGAAATATTTTTATATAAAAGTATCTGAATCCAAGCGTGTTTCACGTTACACTTCATATCCCAGTAAGACCGTTTGGATAATGCAGTTAAACTTATCAATAAAACCATAAAGTGAGTAAGGCCGCTTTGGTATAGTACCAAAACGGGAACCTTTATAGACAATTGTATACTTCAAGGATTCTCATCTATCAAATCCTCCAAAATAACAAATTTGAAACAATTTAGTGGGTAAATGTGATTAGGATTATTAAAATACCGAATATCGGTAGGTATCGTTATATGTGCGCTATACGAAAACGTGGAACTAAATATTCAATGTTCTGCCACCATTATGAACTAAAAATACCCATTATGAACTAAAAATACCAATTTTTATCAAAATATCGAATATTGGCAGGGACCGTTATCTGAGCGTTATACCAAAACGTGGACCTACACATACAATTTTTAGCCATACGAATTACAAATACAAATTTCTGGACAAATCCGTTAAAAAGAAATGTGCAGAAATCATCAAAACACCGAATATCGGGAGGTATAGTTAATTATATGGGGGCTATACAAAAACTTGGACCTATACATACAATGTTTCGCCATATGAGCTAAAACCTATTATAACCCCCAAATACCAATTTTTAGACAAATTCGTGGAAACATGCGGCAAAAATCATCAAAATACCGAATATCAGGAGGTACCATTGTATGGAGGCTATACCAATACGTGGCCCTATACACATAATGTTTCGCCACCGGAGCTAGAACCCGTCATGGCCAACAAATTTCAATTTTTAGACAAATCCGTGAAAAAATGTGGCAAAAATCAACAAAATACCGAATATTGAAAGGTACCGTTATATGGGGACTATACACAAAACGTCGACCGATATGTCTCATTTTCAATACAAACCATCCTAGGCACAATACGTATTGTTCTGCTCGACGTCAAATATACGTCAAAAAATATGGGCTGTATCGTGATTTCAACAGACAGTCAGACACCGAAGACCGGCTACTTAAAATACCTCATACCTCAGAGGATAAAATCTTAAGCCCCGTCTACTTATAATGAACTTAAGCTCGTGAAGCCGGTGTTGGACATACCTTCGAGGAGAAATCTAAAGACGGCCGAAGACCGCTTACTTTAAAATTATTTAGTTCGTGGAGCCGGTGTTATACATACAGCAGAACATTAAAATCTCAAGCTATTAAAAAAATTATTAAATCTAAGAATAACTTCTTTTGGGAAAACTTTTAAAAGAGCAATAGCATTCTTTAGAGCGCGATGGAAATTAAAAAGTAAATTCTTGAAATGTGCTATGGTATCAATATTGATTTAGTAAGTACTGAAAAATCAGGTTATAACATTTTCTGCTTTGGAAGTTCGGAACCCCATATCTCGGGAAGTATGGATATCCCAAAAAAAAAAAAAAAAAATGATGTTCTTGTAATAAGGATAACATTCGATTATCGATTATCGGTTTAAAAAATAGCAAAGTAAATTCGGGCGGGATCGACTATATGATACCCTACACCACTATGTGGATTTATAAGAGCACCCGTAATAAAAAAAATGTAATGAAGCACCATCGCACTCAGTACGAGCCAACCAGCGCACAATGGCCACCAAAATTTCCAGATACAAATCCGTTGGACTATTGTGTCTGGAGTATTTTGAAAAGCAAGGTTGACACTAAAAAATACCAAAGTGTCGATTCGTTGGGAATGGGCCACAATACCGCCGTGCAACATTCGGGCAGCGTGTGACGGTTTCATTGGCCGTTTGAAGGCCATAATTCGTGCCAAAGGTACCCAATTCGAACAAATCTAAACATATTCTAAAATTTGATACTATTTCCGACAATATATGCTTTCATTCAATACAATTTAAAAAAAATGTAAAAATTATGGCGTTTGACTTTGTTGCAGTTTTTTTATCTCACCCTGTGATACCCCTACCACTAAGTGGTCGGGTGTTGTTGCCAGTTTGGAACCCTATATCCCGGAAAGTATGGAAAAAATGTGTTGTTGTAATCAGAATCAAAAGGTCTACTCTTTTGTTGTTGCAAAATGGTCAGGCTTAATCCCTTTATTGTTTTTATAAAAACAACGTTTGTTTATTGGTGGAGAACGATGGTTACGTTTACCAGGGGGTACAATCCCACGGCAGCGGGTTCTACGATACCGGATTGACCCGAAACAACAAGATTCCAGTTTCGGCCAGCGGCTGCCAACCCAGTATGTACATGTTTGTGTTTGTTTATTTTTCTGCATTGGGAGCAGCATATCCCGGAATGCTTGCTCCGGATTTTATTGGTCCGTGCCGGGATTGAGGAAAACCCCGGACCTTGGTTCTGCTCGGTTTGTCAGAACGTCATCCACCACAGATCTGTCTCGGTGCGATGTAATGGATGCAGAGAGTGGGTGCACTTCAAGAACTGTTCCGGATTAAGGCGTTTGCGAGACTACAGCGAAAGGGACTATGTTGCGACTTGCTGCAGTAACGTAGTCCCCAGCGAGTCCTCTTCTTCGTCGTCCTCGTCAGAGACGTCGTCGGAGTATGGCACTCCACCGCAGTCTCCAGAACAGCAACCAACACCGCAGCACCTAACGCCACATGTTGCTGTTCCAACTCCGGATTGTGCATCATTCTTGCAATTCAATTGCAACGGACTTCGAGGCAAAATAGATGAGATAGTGGAATTTATGAGGAATATTAAGATCGCAGCGGTGCAGGAAACCAAGCTGAATGAAAATTGCAGCCTACAACGTTGTTATGGTTACAACGTACTAAGGAAGGATCGCACCAGAAGTGGAGGTGGGGGATTAGCGTTCCTGTTACACCATTCTGTTCAGTACAGACCTATCTCGCTTGAGCTAGTCTCTAGTGACCCATACATGGAATGTGTGGGGGTAGCAGTCAAGTGTGGAACTGCCGAGGTAGAGGTGCTTAATGTGTATATCCCGCCGATTAATAGCTGTGAACCACGTTATTTGCCTGATATTAGCCCATTATTGGTAGGCAATAACCGCCTGGTACTAGGGGATTTTAATGCCCACCATGAGTTGTGGCATTCCGTCCTAGGTAATGACCAGAGGGGATCAGCGCTGGCAGAGCAGATTGACTGCTCCACATTCTGCACGGTTAACGAGGATGCCCCCACCCGAATAAGAGGAGAGTGTCACAGTTCGCCAGATTTAACCATAGTGTCACCCGGTCTGATAAATGACGTGACTTGGCAACCCGTCATTTCTCTTGGCTCAGACCATCTCCCGATAATCGTCTCCATAAGCAGGTCGCCCGATTTCATAACCTCTGAACGCCGCACTTTCCTTAACCATGGGAAAGCTCACTGGCCAGAGTTCAGAGAATTCACCAACCGCCGCTTCAGAGAACTGCCCAACCCTTCTGATGTTCGGGTAGCAGAAAGGATTTTCCGAAACATCATCAGAGCTGCAGCCGCTCGCTATATACCTGCTGGTCGAATACCCGAGATAAGACCAAACTTCCCAGCAGAGGCAGCGGGATTAGCAAACGAGCGTGATGATCTCCGTCGTACCAACCCTACTGATCCTAGAATCAGTGATTTGACAGTGGAAGTCAACCGGTTGGTACAGGAGCATAAGAGGAAAAAGTGGCTAGACCATCTGAAGTGCTGCAACATTGGAACCGATATGAGTAAGCTGTGGGTAACGGTTAAGTCGCTCTCGAACCCTGGAAAAAAGGATGATAGGACCTCAGTCACTTTTAACGACGTAACGGTGACTGATCCGAAGAGGTGCGCGGAATATTTTAACCGACAATTTGTCGAGCACCCCGAGAGTGATAGGGCGAAGCGAAGAGTACTTCGTCGTATCAGATCTCTTCCCGCCGAGGAGGAACCACCACAGTTTACGATGGGTGATGTTGCAAATGTCATCCGTAACGCTAAGTCATCCAAAGCGTTGGGCCCGGACGGAATCTCAATGGTAATGTTGAAGCAGCTGGATACGCCGGGAGTCGAGTACTTAACAAAAGTTCTCAATTTGTCGCTAGCCACCCACATAGTGCCCGAAATCTGGAAAATGGGCCGGGTGGTCCCGCTACTGAAGCCAGGCAAGGATGCCAGTAAAGGCGAATCGTACAGGCCGATTTCGCTTTTGTCGCCAGTAGCAAAGACTCTTGAGGCTTTACTCCTCCCCAGCATTAGAGGAAGCTATGCAGTTGCCAACCACCAGCATGGATTCCGTCCACAACATAGTACCACAACAGCATTACACGCCATTTCCACAAATATTAGTAGAGGACTAAACCAGAACAGGCCGTGTGACAGAACAGTGTTGGTAGCCCTTGACCTATCAAAGGCATTTGATACGGTCAATCATGCCACACTGTTTGAGGACGTACAGAGAACTACCCTCCGGCCAAGTTTGAAACGTTGGATAATCAACTATATGTGTGGACGCCAGTCGTACGTGGAATTCCGGAACAAGAAGTCCAAAGCCCGTAGAGTGAAACAGGGAGTTCCCCAAGGTGGGGTGATATCTCCGGAACTGTTTAACCTCTACCTTTCCGGAATTCCTCGCCCTCCAGACGGCATTGAGATCGTAACGTATGCGGATGATTGTACGATCATGGCGTCGGGTCCAGTGGTCGATGACATATGCGAAAGGTTGAACCCCTATCTCGCGGAGCTTGCCGCATACTTCCACGCGAGGAATATGAAAATATCCGCCACGAAATCAACGGCCACACTCTTTACCACATGGTCTGCGGAGATGAGAACACAGCTGAATGTTCAGGTCGAGGGGAATTTAATACCGACCACGAACTACCCCAAGATTCTTGGGGTAACGTTCGACAGCATGTTCAAGTCGTCCGCGCAAGCCACAGCTATCTGCGACAAGATGAAAAGTAGGAACAAGGTCCTCAAGGCGCTAGCCGGCAGCTCTTGGGGTGCGGACAAAGAAACCTTGTTGACCTCTTATAACGCGATAGGTCGGTCTGTGGTCAACTATGCGGCTCCAGTGTGGTCTGCGAATACTAGTGCTACGCAGTGGAAGAATATCCAGACCTGCCAGAACGCTGCCCTGAGAACTGCGACAGGGTGCCTCCTCATGACACCAGTGGACCATCTACATGAGGAGGCGAAAGTCCTTCCCTTACGTCAGCATAATCATATGCTTTCGTTGCAGTACCTGCTTGGGTGTTACCGTGAGAGCCATCCCAACCATCACATGGTGGATAACTCTCCCCCACCCAGGCGTGTCAGGAAGGACATACATGATCTAGAGAGGGAGGTCCAGCGCTACAAGAGAGAGCCTCTAGATCAAGAAGCCTATCAGGCAGGTCTGAGTGGCATTCACACCGATGCAGTCGCGGATGCTATTAGCAGTTATAAAGTGAATGCCGTCCTCGGAGTCCACCCCCCATCCATTGCAGCCGAAGAACGTCAGCTGCCTAGACAAACCAGGGTAGTTTTGGCGCAATTACGTTCAGGATGGTGTAGTCGCCTCAATTCGTATTGGGCACGAATTGATGAAGATGTGCGTGACGCCTGCCCGGCGTGTGATACAGGCCCGCACAATACGCTACACCTTTTTAATTGCTCAGCCAAACCTACCCAACTCACTCCAGAGGATCTCTGGCTACAGCCCGTTAAAGTAGCCGAATTTCTAAACCTGGAGCTGGAACCAGATTAGCAGAACACAAACACACACATGTACTACTGCTACAACAACAACAACAACCAGGGGGTAAGGCAGGGTATTCCCTAGGTTTTTGAAAAAAAATTGAATATTTGTAATATCTCAATGGTATTGGCATTCACACATGACGAATTCAATATAACAATTTGTTTTGACATTTAAGGACCCATCAGCTGGTTTATGCCACTGCCTAATAGATTTGCGTTGAATCTATTAGTTTTGCATTTTTTCGATATCATAAAAAAAATCGTTTATCGTAGTAAAAAAATTGTACATTCTTGCAGTTTTGGGCCAATGATATTTGGTTTTCCTACAACAACCGTTTTTTTTTTTTTTTCTTTATATAAAAAAAAATACAAAACTTTGAGATTCTTGCAGGTTCTGGGAAAGAGAATTTTTGCCACAGAACAATATTGGTGCTTAATATTTTTTTCTTTTTAAATTTTGCAAGTTTGTACATCACATGTTACCATGCCGTGCTTCACCAATGTATAGCGAAAATTTGTGCTTCTGCTGAGTGTATACCTGGCAACCCTGGTAAGTATTTAACTTTAATATTTCCCTATTTTTCAACAAAAAAAAAATAAACACAGGGCTTCCTAATTTCAACTTACAATGGATAAAAAAAAAAAAAATTTCGACTTTTTTGTAAATAAGATTTTCTTCTGTATACGATATGCTAATCTAATTAGTCATGTTTCTTTATATTTCGTTATTTTTTTTTTCTTTTGCGTAGAAACCAATAACAAATGTTTTGAACAAGGGTGGAGAGAAAAACCAACAAAAAAAAAACAGCAGCCATAACAACAATAACGACAATGAAATGTAACGCAACAAAGAAGAGGAGATGGTAAGCTCTCGTTTGGCGACTCTGACGGCGAATATTCCAGAAAAATAATAAAAAAAGAAACATTTAAACTGTTTGTTATACTTCCAAATAAAATTAAGTTTTGTTTTCCCAGAAATGACATAGTGGAAAAACATTGGCGACATGACAATAGCAGCACGTAGTACTACTGGTTAGGAGCTTAAGCAAAAAATATTAGGAGTAAAACATTTGTTTGAAATCACGTATGCATTAATTTGTTTTTGCTCTGCTGGTATAAAATTTACGGGGTTTTTCTTTAAATATATTATTTTAAGAAAAATTCCTCTAAAAATCCACAACCCAACAATGGAAAAATCATCACCAAAATAAGACACTGCCGAAGCCACACAACAACAATTGTAATGTCATTAATTATGCGGGGGGTGTAGTACTGCGATATTTCTCGAAATCAATAATTTCTCTATTGATTTTTCCATGTCTGTTCCGAATAAACACTCTTATAAATCTGCAGAATTAGATGTTCATTTATGTTGTCTGTTATTTGGAAATTCGTAAATTATTTGCAGTAATATTCGGTGCAAAAATTTACTCCAATGTTCGCATTTACCGACCGAGTAGAAAACACCAAAGAAAACTCTCACACAAATTGTGCCGTCATTGACCATGTTTCTTTTTGCTGTGCAATTTTTTCCTTCCATTTTTGTTTGTTAAGTTTTATCGAAAAGTACAATATTTGGACACCCTCACTTACCACTATTTTATGTGGCTTTTTGTTATAAACTTTTGCCGCAAATAATTAAAAGCTATTAAAATAATTTTGAAGTTTTTTCGTTCACTTTCAGAATTGGACGTTTTTTTATTCACGAACGCACCACGAATTTTTTTGCCTTTATTCTTTGTATTTTAGCTGTCAACCTCTCGTTCTCTGTGTGTGTGTGTGTGTGAATGTGTTGTGAGTACTCGTTACTCGATAGGTGCTGTACGAATAGTATAAGCAAAATAACAGTGTTGGTAAACGCTGCACTAACTTTCTCGTTAATCTTTTACAATTTGCTTGCATGAAATCTCAACTTCGACTAAATTCTTGTTGTGGTTTTAAACTTTTTTAAGGGAATAATTTTAAGAAGCTGAGAAAAAATTTATAATACGTTCATATTTACTATTGGCCAAAATGATGATATGTTTAATCAGATATGTGCGTGGTTATGGGTAAAAATATGACAGCTTTTTTAGGAGGTGAAAGCAAAATGTCAACAACAAACAATTTAACAATAGTCATATATAAAGTCTTATTGTAAGTAATGTTAGTGTCATTGTTATATATCCAAAAATGTAATGAAAACAATACATTTTCAATAAATTATTTTTAATTTTATATATGTACAGTTTTATATATTGGACTATTAATTTAAAATTAAGAACAAATATTCGTAAAATGCTTTATTATGGAGAGTGAACACAAAACGTATTTTTGTTTGATTGGCTTACAGGTGAGAATACATAAAACGCCTTGTTTCGGCAGGCTTGTTTGTAGAGGAAGAAATGAGTTTTAGGTTGGCTTAGTCCGTTTTTGGCCCTACGCTCATTTGTCCTTTCCCGAAGAAGCCTGCCGATGACTTAAGCCATTAAAAAATCCAAAAAAAAAAAACGTTTTATGAAATCATTCAAGTCAGGACTGCAAACCGATTCTTAACCGAACCGTGTACCAAACCGCTGAATCGAAAAGAAAATGGTTCGATGATTCAAGTGGTGTCAACAAACAAACAATTTCTTTATACCCTGCACCATAGTATGGAGGATATATTAAGTTTGTCTTTCCCTTTGTAACACTTCGAAACATACATTTTAGACCCCACAAAGTTTATATATTCTTGATCAGCATGAAATTCTATGTCGATTTAGCAATGTCCGTCCGTGTGTTCGTCTATCCGTCTGTAGAAATCACTCTGGCTTCCGAACAAAATGAAATAGGTTGATAAAGTTCTACTCAAATGTGTATTATGTCTGCAGGACTTTTGGTATTGAAAATGGGCCATGTGGGTCCACGTCTTCGTATAGCCCCCATATAACGGTATCTCTCTATTTTCGGTATTTTGGTGATTTAAGCGAAATTATTCACCGGAAATGTTTCAAATTTGGTATTTGAAATTCGTAATGGGCACAACAGTCTATAACAGAAAATTGTCTGTGCAGATCCACGTCCACGTCAAATTTGTTATTTGAAGTTCGAATTTGACACTGCTGCCTAAGACAGAAAATTGTTTGTGCGGGTCCACAATTTGGTATAGCCCCCATATAATAGTACCTCCCTATATTGATGATTTTAGCTACATTATTCACCGATTTTTCTTCCAGTTTCGCATTTTAATTTTAATAGGAGGTGGGCAGTTTTGTACGCAACAATTTCGGCAAGACAGACCACCTTTAGAGTGGAAATACATAAAGCGCTTATCTGGGTGGCTTAAGTCATCGGTTGGCTTCTTCGGAAATGAACAAGGGAGCCTAGTGCTAAAATGGAACTAGGTCAACCTAAAACTCCTTTATTCATCTACGAAGAAGCCAGCCGATGACTTAAGCCAGCCAAATATGCGCTTTATGTATTTCCAGCCTTACTGTCAGACATTTTTGCGTATTTGTAAAGGCTCCAGCAGGCGATATGTTTTTTACATATGCAGTGTCAATATTTCCATGTACATACATACATACGTACTTTTTCGACTGCATCGGAAGAATATAATTCAAGGCAGATCTACTAAGTAGTCGCATCAGTCCAGCTGACGGCACCATTTAATGTCAAAACAATTTGTTGTATTGTTGAAGTCGCTCTGGTGAATAAAACGGTAGAGGAATAAAGGCATATACATCAGTACTAGCTAATATTGAAATATCAAAAATAATTAAAAATTATCTGGAAAAATACATTGATTGTTAAATGATTTACTATACAAACGAAAGTGAAGGTGGGAATACATAAAGCGCTTATCTGACTGGCTTTTTCGGAAATGAACAAAGAAGCCTTGGGCCAAATTCGAACTAATTCAACCTAAAAATACTTTGTTCATCTACGAAGAAGCCAGTCGATGGCTTAAGCCAGCCAAATATGCGCTTTATGTATTTCCAAAGTTATATTTCCTTTCGTGCTTCTTTAAAATATAACAAAGTACTCACAAAAAAGGATTTTCTTTTGTGGATTATCAGACAATTCCGTTGAAAAATGTGGCTAAAATCATCAAAATACCGAATATCGGAGAGTACCTTTATATGGGGGCTATACGATATCGTGGACCGATATAGCCCATCTTCGAACTTGACCTGCCTGCAGACAAAAGAGAGATCCGTGCAAAATTTTAGCTTCCTAGACAGAATCTTAGAATTTTACGCTGATCAAGAATATATATACTTTGTTGGGTCTAAAATGATTATTTCGATGAGTTACAAACGGAATGACGAACTTAATATACCCTCCATACTATGTATGGTGGAGGGTATTTAAAACTGTATGTTCCACCATTTGGAAAGAATTTGGTAACTTTCAAAAAAATAAATTCCGTTAAAAAATTCTGTTAAAATCCTAAAAATACCGAGTGTAGCCGTTATATTAGGGTCTATACGACAACGTGGACATACATAGGCAACTTTTGTCATAAGCCATTACAATATTCAAATGCGAAACTTAAAAACAAATCGGTGAATAATGTAGCTAAAATCATCAAAATACCGAATATGGGAGGTACAATTGTCAGTCATTGGCAGTAGTATCCATTACGAATTTTAAATACCAAATTTAAAACAATTCCGGTGAATAATGTCGTTAAAATCATCAAAATACTGAATATTAGGAGATACCGTTATATGGGAGCTATTCGAAGACGTGGATCTGCGCAGACAATTTTCTATCCTAGGTTGTAGTATCCATTGCGATCTTCAAATACCAAATTTGAAACAATTCCGGTGAATAATGTAGCTAAAATCATCAAAATACCGAAGATAGGGCTATACGAAGACGTGGACTTGCATACACAAATTTTTGTCATAGGCTGTAGTACCCATTTAAAACACTTTCGGTAATTAGTGTCGTTAAAATCATGAAAATATCGAATATCGGGTGGTACCGTTATATGGGGCCTATACGAAAATGAGGACCAACAAGTCCCATTTACGAACTTAACCTGACTATGGGTAAACTTTAGCAAACAAAACTTTAGCTTTCTATTTCAATTCGTTCGAAAGATAGCGTAATTACAACAGACAGACAGACGGACACCTCTAGATCGTTTTAGTATTTTACGTTGATCCAGATATACAGGGTTGCCATATTCGACAGACCCATCTGGCAACGCCATAACTTTTGACAGAGATGTCACATCGCTTAATGACATACCGCGTTTGAAGCGTCAGTCCAAGCAGATTTTTACCATGAAACAATACACGCCACGCGAGCGCTCTGAAATAATTGAAATTTACATTCAACAGAAGAAGTCAATTGTGAAAACTCAACGTGCTTCTAAAACATTCAAAAATGTGAGAAGTGCGCCTTCTAAGGGACCGTAAATAAGCAAAATTGCCGATTTTACGCCACTGAAAATCCTCAGGAGATTCAAGAAGTGCCTCTTCATGACGGAAAAGTCACAGTTTTGTGCGGCGTTAGTGCGAAAACGGTCATTGGGCCGTTTTTCTTCCAAAATGAAAATGTCCATGCTGTTACCATCAACCAGGAGCGTTATCGCGACATGATGACCAATTTTGTGATGCCAATTATTCGTCGAAAGCGTATGAGGCAGTTCTGGTTTCAACAAGACGGCGCTCCACCGCACACAAGTCGCATAACAAAACATGGGTCCGTCGAATATGGGCAACCCTGTACAGGGTGAGATGAAGAAAACTGCAACCAACTTTAGACTGCTGTCTTTTCCAAGCCACTCGTCCGATAGCTGTGCTTTTGTACGCTGTTTACAAGCGTACAAAAGCATTTTGGTGAGCATTTTCCAGAAAAAAGTTATTCGTGATGGAATTCAAGCGTGATAGTGTGATTTCTTTATATTTGGCTAGAATACCACAAGTAGCTATCGTTAGAGCACTCTCTCGTTACCGTGATACTGGCAGCGTAGCCCGACGTCAAGGAAGTGGTCGGAAGAAGACAGTAACATCAGCAGAAATGGTTTGCAAAGTAAAGAACAGAACCGCAACAGAAAGAAAATAGACTCAAAAGAGCTAAAGAGTTGCTTCGCTTGGCCGAAAGTGGCGAACTGCCGAGTTTGGTTTTCTCCGATAAGAAAACATTCATTGCCCAGCAGTTTGTAAGCAAACAAAGTGATCGTGTTTACTTGTGCACCTTCGGTTGGCCACCAGAACTCAAGCGCCGGCCACGGTGATGGTGTGGGCCGCCATAACAACCGATGATCGCTCTTCGCTAGTATTAATCGACCGTGGCATCAGAATAAATGTCGAATATTATCGCGAAAATATTCTGGAGGGTGTATTAAAGCACGCAAACATTTTGGCCGCAGACCTTGGACATTCCAACAGGGCTCAGCACCATCGCACCCAGCACGCACCACCCAAGAATGGTTAGAATGGTTACAAAATTAGGTTCCTCGCTATATTTCCAGTGCACAGTGGCCACCAAAATCTCCGGATACCAATCCGTTGGACTATTGTGTCTGGAGTATTTTGGAAAGCAAGGTTGGCACTAAAAAATACTTAAGTGTCGATCACCTCAAGCAAGCGCTTTGCCGGGAATGGGCCAAAATACCGCAGAGCAACACTCGGGCAGCGTGTGACGGTTTCATTGGCCGTTTGAAGGCCATAATTCGAACAAATCTAAACTTATTCTAAAATTTAATGCTATTTCCGACATTTTTTGCTTTTATTTAAAAAAAAAAATTAAAAAAAAAAATGTAAAAATTATGGCTTTGACTTTTTTGAAGTATTT